GGCATGAGCCACCACACTCAGCCTCAAGATATACATTTTTAAAAGTTAAGATGTAAAAGGTTTATAACTTAAAAAATGGTAAATTTCTTCCCCACTTCTTTGCTTTAAATTTAAACTCTTTTGAGCTTGTTCTTCTGGTTCTTACCTTCATATTACTCATAGTGTGTTATGCTGGTACTGTCTGATAGGTAAGTTTGAGACACTATTTGTTGATTTCTTATAAAGGTGAATAGACTTTGGTTTTCTTACACCCCTACTCCACTTCCTCTCTACCAATCTTTCCAGTATAGTCATATCAAAATTGGGTGTTAAGTTGTGGCATGGTGGCTCATGCAGGCAGACCACTTGAGGCCAGTAGTTTGAGACCAGCCTGGCCAACATGGCGAAATCTTGTCTCTACTAAAAATACAAAAATTAGTCAGGCATGTGCATGCCTGTGATGCCAGCTACTTGGGAGGCTGAAGGATGAATTGCTTGCACCCTGGAGGCAGAGGTTGCAATGAGCCAAGATTGCACCACTGCACTCCAGCCTGGGTGACAGAGCAAGACCCTATGTCAAAAAAAAAAAAAAAAAAAAAAAAAAGGCCGGGTGCAGTGGCTCATGCCTGTAATCCCAGCACTTTAGGAGGCTGAGGCAGGAGGATCACGAGGTCAGGAGATCGAGGCCATCCTGGCTAACAAGGTGAAACTCCATCTCTACTAAAAATACAAAAAGTTAGCTGGGCCTGGTGGCACATGCCTCTAGTCTCAGCTACTCAGAAGGCTCTGTCTCAAAAAAGAAAAAAAAAAAAGTGTGTGTCAAGCCAGTAGCCAGATTTTACATTATCATGATCATGTAAATATTAATAACTTTCACATTTAGCAAATGCAACATAATTACATCTCTTTTCTAATATAACATTTTATCTTTCCTGGTTGTAATAATTACGTCAGTTTTTGTTTGTTTGCTTGTTTTTTTGAGACGGAGTCTCCCTCTGTCAGCCAGGCTGGAGTGCAGTGGCGCGATCTTGGCTCACTGTAGCCACCACCTCCTGGGATCAAGAGTTTCTCCTGCCTCAGCCTCCCAAGTAGCTGGGATTACAGGCACCCACAACTGCATTTGGCAAATTTTTGTATTTTTAGTAGAGACGGAGTTTCACCATGATGTCCAGGCTGGTCTGGAACTCCTGACCTCAAGTGATCTATCTACCTTGGCCTCCCAAAGTGCTGGGATTACAAGCATAAGCCTCCACACTTGGCCTTTGTTGTCTTTTTTTCTTAATTTCTCAAGTATCCATAAGATATTCATCCCATCACTGTGAGCAGTGGCTCATGCCTGTAATCCTAGCACTCCTGGAGGCTAAGATGGGAGGATCACTTGAGACCGGGAGGTTGAGACCAGCCTGGGCAACATGGCAAGACCATGCCTCTACAAAAATTTAAACAAACTAGCTGGGCATGGAGGCACGCACCTGTGGTTCCAGCTACTTGGGAGGCTGAGGCAAGAGGATTGCTTGAGCCTGGAGATTGGGGCTTTACTAAGACATGTTCATACCAGTTCACTCCAGACTGGACAACAAAGCAAGATCCTGTCTCAAAAAAAAAAAAAAAATCCCAAATATTCCATCATACCTGCCAAACTCCTATCAAATTTGTTTTCAAAATATCTAAGTACATGAGCTCATTCATGACACTACCAACACCCCAAGGCTTATTCCTCTGCCCTTCTGCCCCAGCCTGAGTTGGTTATAAAAGTAACTAGTCTCCAGAGATGCTTCCCCTGCCACCCCAATGAACCACACTTCCTTGTATTCACGTCCTTGTATTGCTCCGTCCACTTGAATTCTCTGGGACAGCTTTATAACTTGCCTTGTGACCAATAGAATACTGTAAAAATGATACTGAATGTCACCTAAGCCTAAGTCATAAGAACCTTCATAGATTATTCCTGAACATGTTGGAATGCTCATGTTTTAGAAAGCCAGATCCTACATAAGAAATCCAACTACTCTGAGACCACCATACTGTAAGGAAGCCCAAGTTGCCATGTAGAAAGCCCACGTGGAGAGAGAGAGTTGTCAGCCTAGTCCCTACCTCTTCTAGTCATTCTATTAACTTGCTAGACATATGATTCCAGCTAAAAATATCATTTTTGATGATCAGTCATGTGAGTGAGAAAGTTATCTTGGACAAATAGTCCAATCCAGTCTTGAGATAGCTGCAGCTCTAGCCACCGTCACTGAGTGCGTGCTACCCAGACGAACACTGTCATTCCAGGGAATCATGAAAAGTACCTGGTTCAGGCACTAGGTTTTGGGGTGGTTTATGATGCAGTGAAACAGTTCCCCTCTCTGTTCTGCAGTTTTTTTCGTGAAATTTTTCTTCCCTGGAGTTAGATGTTGTGTTTTCTGGATCCAATGTCTTTCTGTTTCCTGGTTATTTCTCCTGTTTTGCTATAGATTTCCCTTCTATTACTTCCTAGGAAAGGAAGCATAGTAAGTAAATGTTGAATCCGTGTCCAAAAAAGTCTTTATCGTGCTCTTACATTTGAGAAATAGATTGCCTGGAAGTAGGATTCTGGGTTGAAAATAAATTTCTACACTGAATTTTTTTTTTTTTTTTTTGACTCAGGGTCTCTGTCTGTTTCCCAGGCTGGAGTGCAGTGCCGTAATATCAGCTCACTGCAACCTGCACCTCCCAGGCTCAAGCAATCCTCCTGCCTCAGCCTCTGGAGTAGCTGGGACCACAGGTATGCATTGCCACACCTGGCCATTTTTTTGTATTTTTGGCAGATACAGACTTTCTTTTCTTTTCTTTTTTTTTTTTTTGAGACAGAGTCTCTGTCACCCAGGCTGGAGTACAGGAGTGCAATCTCAGCTCACTGCAACCTCTGCCTTCTGCATTCAAGTGATTCTTCTGCCCCAGCCTTCCAAGTAGCTAGGATTACAGGAGTGCACCACCACACCCAGCTAATTTTTGTATTTTTAGTAGAAACCAGGTTTCACCATGTTGCCTGGGCTTGTCTTGAACTCCTGACCTCAAATGATCTGCCTGTCTTAGCCTCCCAAAGTGCTGGTATTAGAGGAATGAGCTGCCGTACCCAGCTGATACAGGTCTTCACCATATTGCCCCGGCTAGTTTGGAACTTCTGGACTCAAGTGATCCACCCACCTTGGCCTCCCAAAGTGCTGCATTGCAGGTGTGAGCCAACACACTCAGCCTCTCCTCTGAATTTTGAAGGCATTCATGCATTATTTTCTAGCTTTGTTGTTTGGAACACCAATGCCATTCTAATTCCAAATCTATCAATGCAATATGCTGTTGTTCTGGAGTCTTTTTGTATCTTTTCTTTATGTCTGATGTTCTCAGAATACATGATGATGTCTTGCTTTGTGAAGATATTTTCATTCATTGAGCTTAGCATTTGACTGGCCCTCTCAATACTGAGAGTCATGTCCTTTAGTTATGAGAGTCTTTCTTTTATTATTTCTTTAGTAATTTCCTCTCCTCTATTTTCTTTTGTAATGTTTTGAAAAAATCCTAGCCCTTTGGCTTTGTAGATAATTATATTTTCTAACAAATTTTCTTAACTTTATTTTTCAAACCTTCCATAAAATTCAGGGGTAGGTATAATATTTTTAATTTCTAAGAGTTCTTTTCTAATGTCTGATTTTTCATTTTTATAACATCTGTGTTCTTTTTCACGGATGTAAAATCTTTTTTTCTGAGAAAATATTAGCTTTAAAAAATTTTTTTTGAAGTTCTCTTTAGCTCACCCTGTTGTTTTTGTCTCTTTTTTATGATAAATATGTTCCTCAAATGTCTGATGATCCCTGGTTATCTGTTCTTATCTGAAAGTGACACTAAAAACTAATTAAAAGTTCTGCATGCATGGCTGAGGCTCATGAACTGGTGAACTTATTGAAGGAGGGTTGGGTGATTTTGTTGGGGAACACTAAAAAAATATAAATATCTGAAAATGTTTTATTGGGACCATTTAGTTTAGCCAGAGATTAAATTCTCCAGTTTCCTGGGGATAGAATAGGGAAAGGATCCCATGGTTCTGTGGGTATTCAGGGGAAAGGTTCACTCTGAATCTCCTTATTTTCATCCCTGCCCATGTTAGTTGGCTTTCCTGAGTCCAGAATCTCAACTGATAATTGAGATTTTTCACTAATACCTTCAGTAGAAGCAATGTTGAAATGTTTGAGGTTTGTTGGCTGGTTACAATCAATTGAGGATTTTAAAAAATCTGGAACATTTGTGCATTCTTATATTTCCTCTCTGGTACTAAGTAGGAGCAAGACACAGGTAGGCTTGGTCATATGGACACATTACCCAAAGGATCACAGGTCAGAGGACAATGTAGTGATTTACCATAAGCTTTGGAATCAGGAAGTTCTGGGCTTCAGTGTCTTCCTAAAATTTTACAAATTTTTTAATTTAATTTTTTTATTAAACATTTTTTTAAATGAAAAATTGAGATGGGGGTTTTGCTATGTTGATCAGGCTGGTCTCAGACTGTCCTGGCCTCAAGTGATCCTCCCATCTCGGCCTTCCAAAGTGCTAGGATTACAGGTGTGAGCCGCTGTGCCTGTCTTCACTTTTCTTTGTCCATTATCAGGGCAAGGAGACCAGGGGAGAGGGTGAGGGAGAACCTAGAATGGAAATGGAGCCAACTTTTAGTCTAACTGTGCTTTGGCCCCATGAGGAATCTACCTGTAAACATTTGCCAGTGTGGAGAGTCAACTGCGTTTTGTGATAGGCTGCACAGCAGTTGGGACGACTGTGGAACATGCATGGGTTACACAGGCAAATTTGCACCAGCACATGCATGGATGCTCATGCACATATAGGAAACCCACTATACACGTGGACAAGAGGCACAAGTAAGCCCATGCATCCCTCCACACACACATTAGTCACCAGGAGAAAAGGGCTCAGCACATTTCATCATGCTTCACCAATTGCGGGAAGACATTTAGGACAGGGGAACGGGAAGATTATGAGGGAAAAAGAGAAATGAAACAAGAGTCCCACCCTGTCAGCATTAACTGCAGTATAAGAAATGGGCTTTGGATAGATAGACAGACTCCTAGCTCCGGTCAACCGTCAAAATGTCCAAAGAAACTCTCTTTCTCTGGCTGGTGATTGAGTGTTGGGGGCTTTATCTGAGTAAGTGTTCTGAAACCTTCTATGTAGAAGTTCCTGGAGGACTTGCTGTTGTGTGATGGACTTCCATGCACTGGTTTGGGCCTCCATAAAGAACAGGCTCACTTCATTTCTGTATCCCTCCCCTCTCCCTTCCAGGCTTTCTTCTGTGAAGAGTCTCTCCTGCCTCCTTACACAGAGGTTTATCCAGAGACGGGTCTGGAGATTTTAGGCTGGGGTAATTTGGGTTTATATTGGAAATGGCAACTGAAGAACAGACACGGAAATAAGTGGTCAGATAAACTGGGGAAAAGAGATTTCCTCTATGGGTGTTATTCATATAATCAATCCGGAGAATTGGTTCTGGTGAGAGTTGTGATAATTCTTGTCATTTTTCTCTGTTTTTTAGAAGTGTTTGTTTGCTTTTTGTTTTGTTTTGCTGGGGCGAGGCCTTACGGTGAGGTTTCTTTTCTGCACGTTGTTTTTGGGTTTTGGATGATGCAGAGGTGCACACTCAGTTTTGGCCAGTGAAATCCTTTGCACCCTGGTGGTATAGGGCCAGGCGTTCTGGCCTGTGTTGCAGCTGCATCTCGGGCCCTAAGTCTTGACACTGGGAATACATCTAAATTGCTCTGGCTCTCCCATATTTGTCCCATAGTTGGAATGAGAGCCCTGGCTTCTTAAATGACCAGTTGTCACATTTGTGCTTCTAGGATAAGATAATATTGAATAGTCCTTGAAGTTTTATAAGTCCATTTTTTTTAATCGATACATAATAACTATACATATTTATGGACTACTTGTGTGTTATTTTGATGTATACATACAACGTACAATGATCGAATCAGGGTAATTGGGATATTCATTTCTTGAAACAATAAATTTCTTTTTTCTTTTTTTTTTTTTTTTTGAGACGGGAGTGTTACTCTGTCACCCAGGCTGGAATGCAGTGGCATGATCTCGGCTCACCACAACCTCTGCCTCCCAGGTTTAAATGATTCTCCTGCCTCAACCTCCTGAGTAACTGGGACTACAGGTGTGCACTACCATGCCCAGCTAATTGTTTGTATCTTTAGTAGAGATGAGGGTTCACCATGTTGGCCAGGCTGGTCTCGAACTCCCGACCTCTGGTGATCTACCCACCCAGTCTCCCAGAGTGCTGGAATTCTTTGTGTTGAGAACATTCCAAATATTCTCTTCTGGTTATTTTGAAATACACAAGAAATTATTAATAACTACTGTGCTATTAAACACTAGGATGTATTCCTTCCATTTAACTGTATTTTTTTCTTTTTTTTCACATGTTCTAACTAACTGTATTTTTGTACCCATTAACCCACTTTTCTTTATACCTTTTCTGCCCTATTCTTTGTAGACTCTGGTGACTATTATTCTACTCTCTACTTTCTTGAGATCAACTTTTTTAGCTCCCATGTAGGAGTGGGACCATGCAATATTTGTCTCTCTGTGCCTAGCTTATTCAACTTAACATAATATTAATAAACTGTTTCCATCTATGTTGCTGCAAATGACAGAGTTTCATTTCATGGCTGAATAATATTCTATTGTGTGTATATACCACATTTTCTTTATCCATTCATCCATTGATGGACACTTAAGTTGATATATCTTGGCTATTGTGAATAGATAAACATGGGAATGCAAGCTCTTTAATTGATTTCCTTTCTTTCGGATACATCCCCAGTAGTGGGATTGTTGGATCTTATGGTAGTTCTATTTTTAGTTTTTTAAGGAATCACCATACTGTTTCCTATAATGGCTGTAGTAATTTGCATTCTTAGCAACAGTGTATGAGAGTTCCTCTTTCTTTGCATCCTAATTAGCAATGGTTATTTTTTGTCTTTTTGATAGTAGCCATTTTAACAGGAATGAAGTGATACCTCATTGTGGGTTGGATTTGAATTTCCCCAATGATTAATGATGTTAAACATTTTTTTTCTACCTCTTGGCTATTTGTATGTATCTCCAACATGGTGCATGAGAAAACACCCACATTTTAAGGAAAACAAATGTATTTACTTGCCTGTCAAACTCGTATTATACTATTCTCTCTGCCATTGTTTCCTCAATAGTACCATGTATCCTCAGGTCCCTACTTAAGTCAGGCTTTTCCCAGCCACCCCGTAGCCTCTGGACTAGGTTAGGCATTTCTGCTATGAGTTCTCATTCTCCTTGGAGCTCCTGCATCTGCAAACTTGTGACTCTAGCAAATGCCTGCTTACCTGCCTCTCTTCCCAGATACTCTGTAGGCCCCAGGAGGGCAGGCCGGGTCTGCTTTGTGGCTTGTTATATTTCAGCACCTAGTTCCATGCTTAATACATTATAGGCACTCAAGAAACAATCTACTACAGGCCAAGTGTGGTGGCTCACGCCTATAATCCCAGCACTTCAGGAGGCCAAGGCGGATGGACCACCTTAGGTCAGGAGTTTGCAACCAGCCTGGCCAACATGATGAAGGAAACCTTGCCTCTACTAAAATCACAATAATTAGCTGGGTGTGGTGGTGTGTGCCTGTAATCCCAGCTACTTGGGAGGCTGAGGAAGGAGAATCGCTTGAACCTGGAAGACAGAGGTTGCAATGAGCCAAGATTGCACCGAGGCATTCCAGCCTGGGTGACAGAACAAGACTGCTCCTCGAAAAGAGAAAGAAAGAAAGACAGAGAAGAAAGAGAGAGAGAGAAAGAAAGAGAGAGAAAGAAAGAGAGAGAAAGAGAAAGAAAGAAAGAAAGAAGAAAGAAAAAGAAAGAAAGAAAGAAAGAAAGAAAGAAAAAAGAAAAGAAAGGAAGGAAGGAAGGAAGAAAGAAAGAAAGAGAAAGAAAGAAAGAAAAAGAAAGATAGATTCTACAGAATGAAAGCAGTCCCTGTCACTTTCACACTTCTGCTTTGGGTTTGGTATGAGCACCTCTTTGTTTAGATGTAAGAGAACTACCATCTGCCTTTTCATCAATGTTCTTTACTGACTTTGTCTTATCCTGGAAACTTGAGGTTTGGAGGGTTTTGTCAGGTTGAAAGTTGCTGAGGTCTGTAGGACACTGATTGAGGGGCTTCTGTCTTCCAGGTTCAAGCGATTCTCCTGCCTCCAGTCCTGCTTGAAGGAGGCAGTACTGGTAAACTGCTTTTTGTTTTATTTATTTTTTTCCATATGTGCCTTTTCTTTTTTCTTTTTTTTTCAATTTTTTTTTTTTTTTGTTTTTTTNTTTTTTTGTTTTTTTCTGAGACAGAGTCTCACTCCAATGCCCAGGCTGAAGTGCAGTGGTGCAGTCTTAGCTCACTGCAACTTCTCTGCCTCCCAGGCTCAAACAATTCTGCTGCCTCAGCCTCCTGAGTAGCTGGGATTACAGTCATCCACCACCACACCCGGCTAATTTTTTGTATTCTTTAGTAGAGACAGAGTTTCACCATGTTTGGCCAGTCTGGTCCTGAACTCCTGACCTCAGGTGATCCACCCGTATTAGCCTCCCAAAGTGCTGGGATTACAGGCATGACCCACGGTGCCCAGCCTATACATGCCTTTTCTAAGATGACCAACTTAAAAGAGAGTGACTGCTCAGAATCACCAAGGATCTGAGCTGGATGTACTCTTAAAAGACGACCTTCGCTCTGCAGATGGTGATTTTGACACTCAGACTGGGGAAGAGCCAGCCTTGCTCAAGGTCACCAGCTAGGGAAGGAACAAGCTGGCATAGGGACCTAGGTTGTATCCACCATTCCAGGTAGCTCCACAGAAGTGAAACTGATTTGATACCAGCAATTACTTTACTGAGGGATACTTTTGCAACAGACAGGAACCATTCTTTGTCTTATTTCTAAATTCTAATGTCCTTGGCTATGCGTATTAATGCTTTGTTAATTTCATATGGCATTTGATACTCCTCCTTACGTGGACCTTAGCACCATTTGTGAGGTGAGTATTATCACCTTTGTCTTGTGATGATAATGAGGTCAAGATTACCATGGCTTTCCTCCAACAACACAAAAGCAGTAAGCAACTGGCAGGGTGGGGTTTACAATGTGAGCTTAATGGATGTTTTTCCTGCCCTACCCAGTGCCTGCTTCCTTTTTTTTATATGAATTTTTAATAAGATGAGTAATACAGAAATACTCCTGGTGAAAATATTAAAATGTTATAAAGCCAAATGCCCTTCGGACTACTATCCCCAATTCCAGTCCCTTTCCTCTGATCCTGGGGGTAACTGACACAATGAGTTTGTTGTCTACTGCACCAGACAGTTTTCTATATATTTAATTTCAAATGTCTGAGCCCACAAAAACAAAGACAATTGTTCTATTTATTTGTTTTACAAGAAGGGTTTTATATTTTATGTCTTGTTTTGAAATTTGTCCTCGTCATCATTAAATGGCTTGGAGTCTTCCTGTCAGTTCATGTAGGTCTCTCTCTAATGCTATTAATCTACATAGAATTCCATGGAATAAATACACCCTAGTTTAGCCATTCCGCATATATACATTCATTGTCCATTTCATTCACATATACATGGAGGCTGCAATCAACATTTGCAAATAGGCATCTTTGTGAACATATGTTTTTCTAGGGTAGATAACAAACATGAAATTGCTAAGGCATATCTAGGACTCATGTATAGTGAATATTTAATAGAAAGTGCCAAATTTCCTCAGAGTGCGGCTGTACCAGTTCATGCCCCCATTTCACTCTGATTTATCTCAGGAGGCTAAGTCCTTTCCTAAGTCCCTTCCCACAAGTATTTTGGAGCCCTGTTTACTCACACCTTGGTCAATATTCAATATGTTCAGTGTTCTAAGTTTTTTCCAGTCTAATGGGTGAAATTAATTGGCTGCTCCTATTTTTTTATCTATGAATTGTTCATTATGTCCTCTGCTAGTTTCTCTATTGGATTTTTCTTAGTGAGCAATTATGATGCCTCCTTTCATACTATAGTACTTGGGAAAATAAAATGTTGACTCTCCAGTGGACTACTTCTTGTACATGTTTTATTAATTTATCAAATATTCATAGGAAAAAGATCATATGTTTTTTCTTTTTCCTTTCTTAAATTTGAGGCAGTCTTGCTTTGTTGCCCAGGCTGGAGTCCAGTGGTACAATCACAGCTCACTGCAACCTCAAACTCCTGGGTTTCAACCATCCTCCTGCCTCAGCCTCCTGAGTAGCTGGGACTATAGGCATGTGCCACCACACTTGGCTAAGTTCATATTTTAGTAGTTATTAATTTTAGGTGAATGTGTTCTATGTTGTTAACACAGCTGAGGGTGATGACATTGAACTTCTTATTTTTCTCCTGGATTCATGGGAGGCAAAATGGACTTCCCACTGCATTTATTTATTTTTTATTTGTTTATTTTTTTTGAGATGGAGTCTTGCTCTGTCACCCAGGCTGGAGTGCAATGGCACAATCTTGGCTCACTCCAGCCTCTGCCTCTCGGATTCCAGAGATTCTCTTTCCTCAGCCTCCTAGGTAGCTGGGATTATAGGCACCTGCCATCATGCCTGGCTAATTTTTGTATTTTTGTAGATACAGGGTTTACCATGTTGGCCAGGCTAGTTTTGAACTCCTGACCTCAAGTGATCCACCCGCCTCGGCCTCCCAAAATGCTGTGATTAGAGGCATGAGCCACTGCGCCTAGCGTCCCACTGCACTTATAATCTGTGAAACATTTCCATGTGGCGAAGTGAAGAGACCAAATTCAGGGAAGGCTGCAGTCTGGTCCAAATTGGGAATGACCTTTTATCATAAGAACACCCAGAGGTTGAAGTGAGCCAAGATTGTACCAGTGCACTTCAGCCTGGGCAACAGAATGAAACTATCTTTTTTTTTTTTTTTTTTTTAATGAGTTTCACTCTTGTTGCCCAAGCTGGAGTGCAGTAGCCCAATTTCGGCTCAATGCAACCTCTGCCTCTCAGGTTCAAGCGATTTTCCTGCCTCAGCCTCCTGAGTAGCTGGGATTATAGCCATGCACCTCCAGGCCCAGCTATTTTTTTGTATCTTTAGAAGAAACAGGGTTTCATCATGTTAGTCAGGCTGGCCTTGAACTCCTGACCTCAGGTAATCTGCCCACCTTGGCCTCTCAAAGTGCTGGGATTACAGGCTTGGGCCACCTCCCCCGGCCAAGACTGTCTTAAAAAAGGAAGCCAACTATGAAAAATCCCAGAAGCACATGGTCTTGCTTACCATCTGGGTGACTCTTCAGACTCATGCCCACCTTCTCCTAGAGAGAGGAATGCCTGAATGTTACTGTCAACTGAGTCAGGGAGGAACACGACGCTGCTGGCCATGCCTTCTATAACTTCGCCAACTAAGTCAGCGAAGTCAGTGAATAGAGAATCTCACAGGAGGGTGCCTCGGAGGAAATAACGAACAGGGACCCAGGTACCCAAGGGGGAGCAGGGTGTGGTCCCAACAATCTGAGATCTACAGCCTGCCTGGCTTTCACTTCAATAGCATTTCTGGGGAGGGAAATGGTTTAGCATAATCTCTGATGCACAATTAAGCCAATGGGCTTAACATTTTTAACAGTGAAAATGTTTTGCAGATTATCAGAGATGAAGGTAATCTTAGAGGAGCTTGTCTAATGGTTCTCAAACACTGGATAAGCCAGTCAACTACATCAGGGTGACCTGGAGAACTTAATCCAAGTACAAATGCATGGGCCTTGGTCTCAGGGATTCAGGCTCAGGTTTGGGCAATACACTATGTATTTTTAACAAGCTCCTTAGGTCATGCTAATGAGTAGCAGAGGTTGGGACACACTCATACTTCATTTTAGAAAAGGTGAAACATTCCATCTCAACTAACTGATGCACTAAACCTAACCCTCCAGCATTTTTTTTTTTTTTACATCACAGCTGTCATTTTAGATAATTTCTGTGGTTCCTTCTTGCGCTAATGTTAACAAAATACATTATACAAAGTGAAATAAGCCATGCATAGAAAGACAAATACAGTATGATCTCCCTTATCTGTGGACTCTAAGAAAGTTAATCCCATAGCAACCGTAGAAAGGTGGTTGCCAGAGGCTGGGGGGTGGGTGGCTGGGTTAGGGAAAGGGGAGATGTTGACTAAAAGGTACAAAGTTTCAGTTAGAGGGAGGGACTAAGTTTTAGTGATCTATTGCACTGCACCATGACTACAGTCATTAATAATGTATTAAATAGTTCAAAATTGCTAATAGATTTTTAATATTCTCACCACAAAAATTTGTTAAGTTGATAAGGTGCTGCACATGTTAATTAGCTTGGTTGAATTTTTCTACAATGTATATGTATATCAAAACATCACATGGTACCCCATAAATATACACAATTATTATTTGTCCATTAAAAATAAATAGGCCATGAGCTCCACTTAACTTCATATTATCTAACAGCAAACAACTAGTCCAAAGCAAGTAATTTCCAATTCCAGTAATTTCCACTGAAAGGAGAGAAGGCAACGGAATACATACGTTTACAGCCTACCTTTCTATCATCGCACTCCCTGGCTTGGGAGACCCATTGAAGCTTTTCAGTCTGTAGCCCACAATATCGACTTGTAGAAAACAGCCCACCTGATTATATGAATAAGTGGAATTGGGTGACAAGGTCAGGATTTTTCATGTGAGAGTTTATTGGTCATCGAATAGAACTAAAATCAGAGGATTTAAATCAGCAAAAAGGTCTTGCCATGGAGATGAGTTTAGAGATTCAAGTGGCCACTTGGCTGCACTTGGTGGAATAAGGAGCACAGCAGCACTGCGAAGCACATCCAAACTTACGCTAAAGAACCACATCAGCCTGGGCAACCTGGGAAACCCTGTCTGTACAAAAAACACAAAAATTAGCCGGGAGTGGTGCCACACACCTGTGATCCCAGCTACTCAGAAGGCTGAGGTGGGAGGATGGATTGAGTCTGGGAGGTCGAGGCTGCAGTGAGCCGTGATTGCACCACTGCACTCCAGCCTGGGTGACAAAGCAAGACCCTGTATCAAAAAAAGGAAAAAAAAAGAAAAAGAAAAGAAACATAGACTACAGTTTTTTTCATCTTCCCGGAAGCATCTATTAGACAAAAACTGTGTAGCATATTTGAGAGATTTCAGTACTGCACGACCTAGTTTTCACATTTTTCGTTGCAGCACCGGCCACATCAGAGATTGTTGTGATGGGGTTTTTGGGCCAGCCTGTGACTTTGCCCTGTCTGTACCCAACCTGGTCTCAGGACAGCAACAGCATGTGCTGGGGGAAAGGCCAGTGCCCCAACTCCGGTTGCAACGAGGAGCTCATCCACACCGATGGAACGCGGGTGACCTCAAGAAAGTCAGCAAAATACAGACTTCGGGGGACTCTCCAGAGAGGCAATGTCTCCTTGACCATCTTAAATCCCAGCGAAGGTGACAGCGGTGTGTACTGCTGCCGCATAGAGGTGCCTGGCTGGTTCAACGATGTGAAGTTACACAGGCGCCTGCAGCTACACAGAGGTAAGCACATGAAGGGCCTCAGGTCTGTGGAGGGAGAGATTCAGTGCTTAATGGATAATGGAATCGGTGGCTGGGGGTGAAGAGGTTAGAATTGCTTTTACAATGTGTGGGAAGATTGATTTGAAGTGAGATGCCGTGGTATGAAGTAGGGAAATAAACACAAAAGCAGCCACAGAAATGAGTGGAAGGTGGAAAGGGAACCAGCGAATTGCAGGGTCAATTTGAAGAGGCAGCTGCTATGTATCTCGGGGATTTCCACCTTGCAGATATTTGGGTCCAGTGTTTTTAGATCTATCCATTTTTATGTAAACTCTGTTGATTTTTTGCATGTTGGCAGATTTAAAATAATACAAAAATTGCATGAACTAAGTAAAATGTGTTCATGGTTCAGCTTCAGGCAGTAAACCAATGGTTTGCCACTTCTGGCAGAGGAGAAAGGGCCTAGGATTTGGACACAGTCATAGCATTTTCAGGTGCTCTTTCTTCCATTACTATCGGTCACTTTTGATGAAATTTGGAATATGGTGGGACTCCAGAAATCTGAGCTGCATTGAGCCTACGGTTGAATAATGCTAATAATAATAATCTTTAGTAGTTTTCTGGCATGGAGCTTCCCAAAGTGAGCTCTGTATTCAGCCTGCATCAGTGTCACCTAGAGGATCCTTGGACTCTATTCCTAACTGGATGGGCACCTTTGAATACAAGAATCTAGATATCTATATTTTATTTTATTTTATTTTTTGAGACAGTTTTGCTCTTGTCGCCCAGGCTGGAGTGCAGTGGCACGATCTTGGCTCACTGCAACTTCTACTTTCCAGATTCAAGGTATTCTCCTGCCTCAGCCTCCCAAGTAGCTAGGATTACAGGTGCCCACCACCACACTCAGCTTATTTTGTATTTTTAGTAGAGATGGGATTTCACCGTGTTGGCCAGGCTGGTCTCAAACTCCTGACTTCAGGTGATCCACCTGCCTTGGCCTCTCAAAATGCTGGGCTTACAAGTGTGAGCCACCGCACCCAGCCTACATTCTTAAGTTTTCAGGTGACTCTAATGCACTCTAAAATTTGAGACCAACTGATATGGATGACTCTAATTTAAGAACTTACATACATATTAGTATATCTTTCTCTTAAGGCAACATTGTGAGATAGAGAGAAGGGATTCCAATTTTGCAGAAAAGAGAAATGAGGTTTATTGATGTTAAATGACTCCCACTCAAATCTTCTCTTTTCAAATTGGGTATAACCAACTATTATTTTATAGAATACTTGACAATATATTATGAGGTCATTTCCAAGTTCACTTAGAACAAATGGTGTCTTTCTGGTCCATTAGAGTCCGTGAAAATTTGGCATATTCTAGAGAGGATGAGATTTGTAGAATAAACGGTGGCTAATGAAGCTCAGATCAGATGTTTAGGGGGTGAGTGGTGTTGGTATGAACTGATCTTTACTGTCTGAAAGAGACTACATTCTCACCCTAGTTTGCGTACTTTGAGCTCACTTTTGATGCACTCATTTACGCATTCATGCAATGTTTTTGGAGCATCTACTATATGCCAGACACTGTGATAATTACTGGATTTGTAGCACAGAACAAAATAAATGACAGATTTTTTCCTCATGATGCTTAAAGTTTAATGGGATAAACAGACTTTAAACAATAGCAATAAAATAAATGTGCAGTTATGGAATGCAATAAAGGCTGTGGAGGTAAAGTATGAGAGCACATCACACAAAAGCCTAATCATTATTGTGGAATCTACGTGGCCTCCTTGCAGAAGTAACCTTTTAGCTGAGACCTGAGAGTTAAGCAGGAGTCAGCCTCGTGAAGAATGAGAATAGGAAGCAGCAAGTACAAAGGTTTGTGCAGTGGGCAGGTTGCTGATGTGTTCAAAAAGCTAAAGAAGGGCCGGTTGGGTAGGAAGAAGTGATAGCAGGTGGGTGGAGACATGAGGTTGGAAAGAAAGGCAGGACTGGGTGGAATGGAGGCTTGCAGCTTGCAGGCCGAGGTGCAGGACTGGGCTCTCTATCTTAAGGGCAAGGAGCACCCGGGAAAAGATTTAGGCAGGAGATGGACATAATGACATTTGACTTTTTTTTTTTTTTGAGATGGAGTCTTACTCTGTCACTTAGGTTGGAGTGCAATGGCATGATCTCAGCTCACTGCAACCTCCTGAGTTCAAGCGATTCTCCTGCCTCAGCCTCCTGAGTAGCAGAGATTAAAGGCGCTCACCACCATGCCCAGTTAATTTTTGTATATTTAGTACAGGGTTTCACCATGTTGACCAGGCTGGTTGTGACCTCAAGTATCTCCCCACCTTGACCTCCAAAAGTGCTGGGATTACAGGCAGGAGCCACCCGCACCTGGCCGCCATTTTAAATGATTACTCTAGGTAGTGTGTGAAGAATAGATTGGAAGGAAGGGGTCAGGGCCAGGGCAGGAAATACAATCTTATTGGGCATTACAATGGTCCAGGCCAGCGGACCAGGTGAGACCACAGAAATGGAGAGAAATGGATGGGTCCCAGATGTACTTGCACTATTTCTTTTCCCTCCGTCTCCGCTTGGTGCCAGACATGCCTGTTGTTGTTTACAGCCCCGACAACCACGAGGAGAACAACAACCACACGCAGAACAACCACCACGAGCCCCACCACCCCACAAATGACAACCACCACAGCTGCACTGCCAACAACAGTCGTGACCACACCCGATCTCACAACCAGAACACCACTTCCAACGACAACCATCGCCGTCCTCACAACAGCAGACTCGTGCCCTTCACCAAGCCCAAGCACCCTTCCAGAGGCGGCCACAGGTCTCACTCCCGAGCCTTCTAAGGAAGGGCCCATCCTCACTACAGGTACGCATATGTATCTTGGGTTTCTTAGAGTTCTCTCGCTGAATGATGCAGCCCAGTGACTTGCTTTCTCTCTCTCTCTCTCTCTCTCTCTCTTTCTCTGTGTGTGTGTGTGTGTGTGTGTGTGTGTGTGCGCGCGAGCACGTGTATTAGTTTGCTAGGCCTATCAAACAGACACCACAGACTGGGTGGCTTAAACAACAGAAATTTATTTTCTCGACCTTCCGGGTTCTACAAGTCCAGCGTCAAGGTGTCAGCAAGGTTGATTTCTTCTAAGTCCTCTCTCCTTGACTTGCAGGTAAGAATACCAGTCATATTGGATTACGGTCCATTGGTATGCCCTCATTTTACCTTAATTAGCTCTTTGTATGCCCTATTTCAATGTCCATTTGGATCTGAGGCACGCAGGGTTAGCACTTCAACGTATGAATTTTGAGGGGACACAATTTACTCCTTAACAGTAGGTGTGTGTGTGTGTGTGTGTGTGTGTGTGTGTGTGTGTGTAAGGAGATGTTTTTACTAAACTGTTCCTTTTCTTTTTTTTTATGGTGTCTCTTTTTTTCTGCCTTTTCCTTTGTGTTATTGAAAAGTCAGCATTTTGGGTTCTCCAATTGACCTCTCAGGAGTCTTGCAAAGATGTTTATTAAAGAACCAGGAAAGGTCACTTCTGGTCAGACTCCAGTTCCATTCTTTCAGGGGTTAAGTTGCTGCCTGAGCATTACCCATTGATTGAGGAAAGACCTCCAGTCGCCTCTAAAATGTCCCCTGACGGTGCCTGGTTCCAGCCTTGTTTCTTTTCTTTGTTTCTTTTTTTTTCTTCCCCTGAAATTCTCGACCCTGCAACTTGTACCTCTCACTGAGTGACTCGCTCCATTGGTTAGGGGGGCTTGTCAAGGCTGTCACTATATGTTGGCCTCTGATTCTGCAGTAAGAATTGGGAAAGCAATCATGAGATAGCTTGAAGGCTTTCTTAGACATTTCAGCTGCCTCAGTAAGTCCTGGATAATTCAAATAGCTTTATAAAATTGAATTGGATAATTCTATCATACTCTGAATAGTCACCTAAAATCCATGAACCCTGAACCAATCAATTTTTGTACGTATTTTTTATTCCTTTGGGCTTGAAAATAAATAACTACTGTAAAACACAATATTTGTAGTTTCTATTTCTTAATTCTAAAAATCACTTGCACTCCTTGAAGAAAACTTGAAATATAAAAATAGCCTGGACCATGGTGATGTGAGCCCAGCTACTTGGGAGGTTGAGAAAAGAAGATCCCTTGAGCCCAAGAAGTCAATTCCAGCCTGGGCAACATGGTGAGACTCTGTCTTTAAAAAAATAGATACATTAGAAAAAAATAGTGGCCAGGTGCAGTGGCTCATGCCTGTAATCCCAGCACTTTGGGAGACCAAGGCAGGTGGATCACTTAAGGTCAGGGGTTTAAGACCATCCTGGCCAACGTGGTCAAACCCCATCTTTTACTAAAAATATAAAATTAGCCAGGCATGGTAGCACATGCCTGTAATTCCAGCTACTCCGGAGGCTGAGGCGGGAGAATCGCTTGAATGTGGGCGGTGGAGATTGCAGTGAGCTGAGATAGTGCCACTGCACTCCAGCCTGGGTGATAGAGCGAGACTCTGTTTAAAAAATTAATTAATTAAAAAATTTTGAAAAGGTAGTCCCAAATCCCACCACTGACTACAAACAAAATAATACTGTTATTTTTTAGCTGCCTTTTATCCAACTTTTTTCTCTTCCAGAATCAGAAACTGTCCTCCCCAGTGACCCCTGGAGTAATGCTGAGTCTACTTCTGCAGACACTGTCCTGCTAACATCCAAAGGTGTGCAATCACCTCCTCCGTCCTCCCTCACCCCTTGGACTGAGGAGACGGAAATTAATAAAAGTGTTGCTGAATCAGATGACTGACAACCTCTTTGGGTCTTTTGTGCCATGTAATCCTCCTGTGGCAAATTGGCCTCAGGGTAGTCTTTGTAGTTTGTTTCTTCTTGTGGCTGGGGGGTGGGAGTGGGGGGAAGGCCCTTCTTGTTTGGTGCAATTCTCCGCAGTCGCTCATGGTACATCTCTAGATGTTTGCTTTTAGACTCTAGGCTGAGTAGCACTTAGCTGTCTCATCCTAATTTCATGTATGTAAATCTTCTTTGTTGAGACTCCTGAGGGGTTTACTCATTCACTGATTGGCTTTTTTTTTTTTTTTTGAGACAGAGTTTCGCTCTTGTTACCCAGGCTGG